ATTTAATAAAGTATCTTTCCTAAGGACATCTTTCATAAGAAATAAGTACCTAAATTTATACCTTTATTCACCGTTCTATATTTCAACACCAGCATTGCCAGAAAATAATTTCTATTCAAAGTAGAGCGGTAAGTGAAAGTTGTGTGTTGCGCACACCAGATTTTTTTCTATCTAAAACTGGCCCCAGTCAACTTAGGGTGTCCATTTTTATGTACGAAAATGGACCTTGAAGTTTAATTCTTTCCAAGAGGGACCCTATTTAATTAAAGGATCAATGTTTTTTTAATTATTATTATTATTATTAATAGTGGTTTCCGGAAATATGTGCAACAAATAAAGATTTTTTGACTTATTATTTAAAATAATGTTGGTTTTGATATTACAATTCGGGGTTAACTTTGGAAATAAACAACTCAAATTTTATGTATTATCATTATCGTACTCAAATTAACTGCTTTAAAAATATCACAATTTTTTTTTACTAATTAGTACATGACACATTGAATCAAAATAACCTAAGAAAAAAAATATAATAAACTCCTAAACATAAAACTAGTAGATTCATTATATAATTCAAATTTGTCTGTACCTATGACTTTGTTTGTTCTAACGGTTTTTGGCTTTGTGGAAGACATTTCTTTTTAGGTTTTTGATGATCAAACTAAATAATATTGGAACAAAATTAAATTTGATAAATCATATATATATGTTAAATTTTTAGATTGTAATGTTTCTCCTAAAAGCCCGTCCAACATAACATTAAAATAAAAACTACTGCTTGAGCACGATTTCCAAAATCGCTAGTCAAGAAATTCTACTTTCCTTCACAAGGTTGTGAACTTCGGAATACTTCATGAGTTGTAATTGTAACAACAGATTCGTTAATAATATCTCTCAAATTAGGTCATATTACTTTATGAATCCAAGTTTCTTTTTAATATTTGAATATTTTTGCACTAAGTTTTTTTCAGCTTTAAGTAATTTCGCTGAGATAAAAAACGTAGCGAATTATTTCACAATGGTTTATTATTTCCCAACAATTATACATCTAAAGTAACATAACCTTTCTAGTGAAAAATTAAAAGAAATAAAAAGTTTTTAAATAGCATTACTTTAGTAATACATTCAAAAATCAAAATCCAAAACAAAGAATTTGCAGTAGAACATAAATAACATCTAGAGACCATATCTTTGCTACAAATTGTCCGATTTTAACGGTTTTTAAATATTTTTTTTAGGAAAATTTCATCAACTTTAAAATAATCGTAAACAAGAATATCAACAAAAAAGTGTATACTTTTTGAGTTATTCGGAATCTAATTTTACCAACCGTTGTAACTTTTTATTCAGCTTCTTTTCGTTGAAGTATGTTATATAAATAAACTTAAAGGGCATCGAGAAAAAGACTTTAGCCACGTTACATTGAAATCGGTACATTCGTTTAGGCGTTACAGTCTATAACACCGCAGGTTTTTCGGACGCCATTTTGAAAGGAAAAGACCGATAGTAATATCGATGAAGGAGGATCATCCTCGTGTGACATCTGTCTTTAAATCCAAATTTGAAAAAAATCGGTCCGTTAGTTTCAGAGAAAATATGCGTACGACGTACGGCGGACGGACAGAAAAATTTTATTTTGTCGTTTTTCGAATTTTACGTAGCCTGAAACGTAAAACTTCAAATTTTGAAAAGGAGTTAAGTTTTTGAATTTTTTGTTCGATTACAATGGTTCATTATTGAAAATAATAAACCAAAAAAAACGGCTGTTGTCAAAATCAAAACAAACTTTTTACTTAATTCCATTTAAAAAACGTTGTTTCAGTGAAGACATCACACCGTGGCTCACAATTGTAGGAAGGATAAGGAATATTTTTATATTTCATCGTTTTTGAAATAATTGGGTATCAATACTTGTATAAAATGTTGTTTTTCTTTTTTAATTGTATGTGCGTGAGCTTGTTTTGGGTTCTTCTGGCAGAAAGAAGACGTGTATAACCAGTCTAACAAGTCTGCAACTGTCCCAATTATTAAATCATCAAATTTGAGATTGGTACGGAACGTAGGCAAGAAGAATAATGACAATCCTTAGAAACTACGAAATACCAACGGAAACCTAGAAGAGTCCGAAGGTCAAGGCTACGACAGGTTTACCGGTTGCCGAGAAGTCTTTCAAGTTTAGGGGCCAGGGACGGAATGCCTGGATGAGGGCATCGGGTCAACCCAACTGTTTGTGGGCCGATAAGAAAGTTGAATGGAGTGTCGTAGATATGAAATTTTGAGTTGTGTAGTCAATTTAAACTACTCCAATTTGGAAATCAATACCAAATGGAAACATGTTTAAAAATATATATCAAAAAAGAAAGAGTGTGAAAGTATCACCTCGATATTGGAAAGTTCATATCATTGTTATAAAATGTTAATAAATACGAAATAATATAGAATTAATCCTGTGAACTAAGAAACAAATTTTAATAGCTCAAAGTTATGGAGCATTGGCTCTTCTGAATCAATACAAAAATGTGACATGGTGTTCCTTATCTCCAAGGTACAGAATTAATATAGATATTAAATCTAATCATAACATGATATGAAAAAATAATTCGGAAATGAATATGAAAATTAAAATAGATATGAATTCATCTTAATGTGTGTCCAGACATTTGCCATCCTATCATAATGTAACACTGGTGATCCCTGGTATAGACACCTTTTTATCGAATTAACATCCACCTGATCCTTTGTAAATAACTTCATCTCATCATAATCTACAAATATTTTATTTACGAAAATTCTCAGAATCCGGGCGTTTTTAATCTGGAGATCAGCAAACTTTGCTTATTTAATTAGGTACTAAAAATCATGAACAAACATTTGCTTTCAATTTGAATAGTTAGATAACATGATCATAAAAACGAAAAAGAAAAAAACAGGTGACCTAAAAAATGTTGGGGTGTTTGAATTATATAACCTGGTTATTTTAACTTCTTCCAGGTGGAAGTAACACCAAACAACAATGTTTTTGTAGGCCACCTTTTTTTTCTACATGTGATCATATTATCTTACAATTCAAGTGGAAAGCAAATTGGTATTCATGAGTATTTAATACCTATGATCCAATAAAGTGAACATCCATTGAACAAAATTAGGATATCGCTTATACTACGCCAAATCAATTTCAGCTTGTTTAAAGTTTGTCTTGAAACAATTTTTACATACATGCATGTTCTAGTCAAAATACATCTGAGCATTTATTGCAATGTGTTTTGAGTAGCGTAATTTCTTCATTTCCCAACATGTTGTGCATCTCTTTCTCTGACCACTGACATAATGTTTGTCCATCCTCTTGTAGCTCAACAGGTCGAAATTATTTAATTCTCATTTACAGGTCAATCCAGCATTCTTATTGTCAACATGATTCTTCTCTGCAACTGTTCTTGACACAATTCCAGGAATAATGACTTCAAAGAACTCAATCTTGCATTTGTTTTATAAATATTTGTCATTATTGGCATAATAAATAATTTGGGAATTCATTCCCGCAATATTTTAAAAGTAAAAAACACCTCTAAATATTGATTGCTGCATTATAGGTTCACGTCTACCCCTGATTTTTTCCTAAATCTTCATCAACTTTTTGTCATTGTGCATATTCATAATTAATATAATTTTTTTCATTTTTCAGTACAGTAAGTAAATAGAACCCTTCTAGCTTTTTATCTATGGTTACATTTACCCAACTAAGTAGCTTTTTTGAGTTGCCTACAAATGTTCAGAGCATATCGCAAACTGCTGCCAATTAATCTAGTACTTATCTTGATTCTCTTGTGTTTATATCTTCGAAGCAAGTACATCTCACGAGAAATTTAAATCTCTTTAAATTTATAACAAGACAAACGTGTTCCACTTTACTCACAGCCATCACAATTCTTCTAAAGGCTGACGGTTACTCCTAAGGACCCCAGCAAGATAGAGTTATCCAACAAAGATTATGAACTCGGCTACATCTGCAAGCTTTGCATCTTTATCTCTTTGAAAGCAGTTTTGGATCCTTTCAATAAATATATTTGTATAATTTGCTATCATATTGATCATTTACACTGGCATAAAACATTTCCAACATCCCATTGGTGAAGAAGCATTTCGAGTTTTCTCTATCAAACCTGGCAAATGCATGAACAAATTTAGGCTTGCTCGTTTAACAAGGATGCTGGGTTTTTCCTTGGACCATTTGGTAATTTTGTCTTTGCCCAATCAAGCATCTATATAACATTCATCTTCTACCGAGCTGCCTCCATCTTGTACTGAATCAGAGTCCTCTTGCCTTTCCTCTGTTATATCTTCCGCATCAGTAACAGATTTGTTACCATTGGCTTCATTTCATAACAGATCCTCTTCATTAAATAACAAATTATGAATAGCTACCAGATCATCATAGTTGTGCGGGTTCAAAATTTACTGCCTTTTAACCACTAGATTCTGGAAAAAATATATGTCACATTCGGGGCGCAACTCATCTGACAGATTAGATCATGATAAAAGGCATTTCATTTGTAAAAATAAAGAGTGTAATTCATAATTATTAATATTACATAGTAATATTGTAAATAATTAAGATAAATTTAAAAACAATAATATTAAAAAACTTATGGGATTAGACACAATCAATCTCTCAGATTCAAAACTCTCTGATGGCATCGGAGAATGAACTGGAATTAAAATGGCAGTTCATTATCACGTCGAGTGGAAGTCAGGAAGCACTGGTCTCTGTCATAAAAAAAATTCTTTTTAGGAAATGTGGCTGATCAAAACAAAGTCTACTCATCTCCCAGATTAAATGCAACCGTCAGAAAGTTAATGGTAATATACACCATAAAACAAAAACATAATAAAGAAGTAGAAAGGAATAGTTACAGGGATGTATTCTGCATTTTTACTTTTTTTATTATTATTGATAACATTAATTTAAGTAAAATATTTACAAATAAAAAGCAATATATGTAAACAGTTTGAAACTAATTCAACGAATAATTACACCTAAAACTTTTTCTGCGGTTTGCTCTATATTTTTATGTACTTCATTTACTTCAGCTTGTGTAAGAGTTTTCTCAAGATGTCTATACACAATAGTGTAGCATCGACTTTTACGTCCAGTCTTAGGGTGAGTGAATTTATCGATCAGCTGAACCTATAAAATATATAGGTAATATGAAATCAAATATGTAATAATAATAACAAATAAATAAATAAATGATAAATAGATTAAGCATATCTATAATAATAAATATATTAGATGGACCATACTGTTTTATCTGCTCTAAATTTGGATTATACATGCCTATTTCATACATGCTATGAGTGCATCTCATAAACTAAATAAAATAAGAAATTAAAGATGAAGTAATAAAAAAAAAAATAATAATAGTACTATAATTTAAAAAATTGACAGGACAGATGCTTCAGTTCAATGACTTTATAGTAAAAAGGTTTGTTTGTTAAGGTTTTAAGACGTAAAATCACTAGGTCATCTATGTCTATAACGTTGTTACAATCAATCAAGTTTTTTACGAACACAGATTGATTTAAGCTGTTAAGAATTTAAAATATATATATTGTAGTGATTTTACAGATGTTTATTGAAAATTGATTATTTTTAATATTTGAGTAACAGTTGATTTTGGTACTATCTCAGTAATTCAATGAGAAAAAAGCCTCAAACTTCTAAATAAGCAGTCAAATTAACATATTAATGAAATACTTAAGTAATAATATTACCTGTTCTATTAGGTCGCCACCTATTTCTCTGACAAGAGAATGAAAGTCATTTTCTTCAAAGTTATCATTTATCCAAAAACTAATGTCATTTTTACATGACGGAAAAATACTGACTTGCTGTAATGAAACAAAACAATTAATATTAAGTTATGATTATATTAAATCATCTAAAATGTGATTTCATTACAAACTTAGGATTAAATATATCTCACCCAGCAATCAATTACTTTTTTAATCTGGATATCATAGAAAAAGTTTAAAGATGTGATAGAAAGATTCCAAAAACAGAGCCTAAATTCTCTAAAAACTTACATGCTGGTAAATAACCAACCAGGATTATCTCCCAATAATATCATAACAATTACTTGTTTGCCAATAATGAACCATTTTAATCGAACAAAAACATAAATGGTCCCAATGATATTGGGAATATACAAAGAACAAAATGTAAACAGCACTGAAGATATAAATTACCTTATAAGTGACTTTATCTTTAGGAGATTTGTTGTGGAACTGAATAAGGAACCCAGGATCTTCCATCCAGAATGTCCTAATATCAGGGATAGAATATTGGATCATTGCAAGCCTATCAAGTCCAAGACCAAAAGCCCAACCAATACTATCAGCAGCACCAGCTGGAAAAATAAATATTTTTAATTATAAAAATAACAATTACAAATTATGTAACCATAGAAAAAGACTGGAATATTATATATTGATAATTACCAATCTATTATTATTATTAATTATGAAGAAAATACATACTGTGTATGCACATACTGTAATTACACTCTCAATGATGAATTTTTGTTTGATATCTCATGAAAAACTATGAGAAATATTAATTCACAAATAAGATGAAAAAGCAACTTATCACATTAATTTATTAAAATAATATAACTTAAACTTTTATATGAAACAATAACGATTAAGTGAAGATAACAGAATTCTGTCTGTTCTTAAATAAAAATATTTTAAATGAAAATACTTAAATTAAAGTTACATGAGAAGAAATAATATTTTTTTAATCCTAGAATTTGAATTAATCAATAATACTCTGCACCATAGGTCAATTCTCTATTATTAATACAATTGGTACTTAATTGTTAAATAAATTCATAATTTTTGTTTTAAATTATATAAATTACCTTGCTGTAGAATGGCATGCCTTATTATACCACAACCAAGAACCTCCAACCAGTCACCATTTCTTTTAATCTCAAGTTCCCAAGATGGATGAGTAAAAGGAAAATAAGCATCTACCCATCTGCACTCAATATCTAAATGAAAAAGTAATACAATAAAGTTATGAGATTCTTCATTTTATTAATAAGAAACATTAAAATTATAAAAGAATAGTTTCTATTATAGGAGAGAACAGGACTAAAAGTTCCGATTTTTTAACAATCTCACATATTATTTATAAAATGTCCTATTAACAAAATATAATTATTTCACTTATAATTACGTCACATCTTTAAGGAGTACTTTCAGGTTATACATGATCTCACTTTGCAATGAACAGCTGATGTAGCTAATCAGTCTTTATAATCCGTACATATATTATTACAGTAAGGCTCGAAATCGGTTTTGTACCAAATATAAGCTCCTGTCATACTCAAATACCATGAATGGGGTACCGTTGGATTCAGAATTTCACGGAGGGTTAGCGAATTGTATTCTCTGCTTTTGTTTTTGTTTCCAAAATAAATAAAGTCGATACAAACATTTTGCTAGGCTTCAATACTGGAACGGTGGTAGGTCTGTAGATCAATGCGGGACAAATTGGACCTAGAAGATTTTGATGCATACAGCAAGACTGCGTTTTAAGCCCAAAAACATACTATTTATACTATTTTCGAGATAACGCAAGGCATGGGGTTCGCATCCACACAACCTGACGTTAATTGTAGTACAGTCATTGGATACATGTCTCATTTCGTCGACTTGAGGTCTCTATGATCGAGACAGGAGGAGTTTATATTATTTATCGATGGTGTTTTTGATCGGCAAGCCATATCATCATTAATTCTTCACCAAATCTCAAGATTGAGCCACCAATTTCGAAGGCTTCCTTCTCCTTTAGGCGAGCAAAATAGTCCAATCACCCCGAAAAATCAGGCAAACAAGTTATGAAAGAAAAGAAACTTTATTTGCGAATAACTAAAAAATTACACACTTTTTCCTAGGTTGTGTCCATGATTATATAAAAGATTACTAAATTCCCTACAAAAAGAAAAAAAAAAATCATCGAAATCGGACAATTTTTAGCAAAGATTCAGCTTACTCAAATTTGTAAATATGTTGGTTCCAAACAAAAATGAAGATTTAAATTAAGTTTGTTCCCTTTGTCGATTATATTTATGGATAAAGTAACAATTGATTCCTTTATCTTTTGATACGTTGCATTATTTTATTTTCTAATTAATTTGGCATTTGATAACAATATGCTGTGCGAATTTTTCGCACGGGCCTACTAGTATAAATAAAATTAAAGGTTTTGTCTGTACATTGAATATAACCAACCTATTTCATGATATCTTTCCGTTTGATATCTTACAGACACCAAACCCACTTTTAAAAAAAAATTTATCTGTCTGTATGTTCGCATTGTCCAATAAAATTTTGTCAGAGGTAAGCTCAGCAATCGCTAATGGTAGACTTTTGTAATCTTGATATTATATTTACGTTTGCTTGACTTAAAACATAAGCTTTAAATGAAAACAAAATATTGAGTAGAACCAAAGTTATGAATTCTTGAGTAATTTGTCTAGAGATGTTGGTTAGACAGTTACTTACTTTGGTTCTCATCCCAACCAATTCTACCACGAGCCACAGTTATAAGTTGTACTATATTCAACTGATGGAAAAAATTATCACAACTCACGGGAAAAATCCGAAATACCGAACATCTGTTACGCATTGTCGCTTAAACCGGGTAAAACACACTCATTTTTGAACTTTGTCGGATCTTCCCATTCAACCTTGTCTTCCATAAACCCCGCCAAAAAAAATTTCAAAACAACCCCTTCCCCCACTCAACTTTATCAAATTAAATTAGGATCCCTCCCATAGTAAAAAAATCCATCTCAAAAAAAAAGATTCTCAAATTTTAACTATATACCTGTCAACGATGGGTACATCAGCTAGTTAGGAATATATAACAGTTTAGATTATAATTATTATTATAAGAATCACTGGACATATATAAATTAGGTTACTATTAGCATTTATATTTATATATAACAGTGCTTTAACAAATAAATGTACCCAAAATGAAATATAATTAAATATAGCGGCCTTCTTTATCAATGACACTCTTGTCAGACTAAAAATATTTTGTGGTCCTTAATTATTTATCTATTCATTATTAAAAGAATACACCTTGTCCGCCCAACAGGGAACCAACCCCCATTTTACAAATTATTCAACTATTCATTTAACTGTACTACTTGTTGCTATTATTGTATAACTGTAATTAACAAGTATTCTGTAGTTCAGATTGAATTATTTTTCATCAACATAAAATAGACGTTAAGAAACCACAGTTCGGACAAGCTTTTAATTTCTTTAAAAATTTATATTATAAGCAAATATTGTGTGATGTGTGCACCGTGCCAGATTTTTCCCTTAGTGCTTGTAGGACAGGACATTCAAGAAGTGGGTCACTTTATCTCTTAACCCTATAGAGGACTCGTTTATGAGTCAAAATGGAATTGGGCCCAGGCGACGGTGGTATCATATATGAGTCGAGAGCCTTTCAAGCTTTTTCTTGTTAAATGAGTTGCTCAGAGATGAATTATACTTTCAAACTATCTCTTAGCCTTTCAATATATCAGTAGGTAATTTTTCTGATGGCTGGAGAATATGGGAATTTTGGAATGTAGCTTAAAATAAAAACGCTTAAATGGTAGTGCCCTTCCTCGCCTTTTAGGCTGCACGGTGTTTTCCTGGACCTGGGCAGGTGAGGGTGAGGGGTGAGGGCAGGGGATTAATACCAGAATTAAAAACTCTTCAGGCACCGGGACGTGAACTCGTACTGATTTTATCTTATACAACTTTGGTTATCAGGTTGGTGGGCAATATGCGGTGCTGTGCACACACGACAGCACACTCATCTACCCTGGCCCTGGCTGAACCATACCATAGTGTTTTAAAAAAAAGAATGACCCAGATAACGTAAGAGACCCAAAACAGTTACATAAGCAACACACTGTGATGTGTAATACCCTAAAATTATTTTCATACTACTTTCAGTAGTAATACAAGAGTGATAACTGGCATGTGATAATCAGCATTAGTTAGGTTATATATGAAGATAATTTACATGAGCTAAATTAGCAAATAGCTGCTTATACAGGAGAAAACTGATATTTAAAATTTTCTGGGGCGTTTTAATACTCCAGAGTCATTCTATGGTTAATGAATTAATTACAAACTGTCTTGATATCCTTGATAATGGGGTCTACTTTATGCTTTAGTCCACGCTGTTGAAGGAAGCCTGAGATTAAATAAATAACTTAACACTAATAATGCCACCGAATGTCGAATATCACAAAAAGTTATACTAACCGTTGCCAAAGATACACCTAGCAAGGCCTTCTAAAGTTACTTTTAATTGTTGCTCTATTTCTCTGCAAGCTATAACAGAGTGTTCCTTCTGTTTTACTTTGCTTTCAATCGTAGGATTTTTTTCAAAGACTTCAGTCTGAATTAAATCAAAAAGCTAAAAATACAAATAAATGTCATGTATATAAATACAGAGACAAAATGCAATTCCAAGTAAAATATCATTATTTTTTACCTGTTCTCTATGAAAAAGGCGAACAGCATCGCATTGATGAAAAACAGGATAATGGGTAGAATCTATTTCATCCCTTCGATACACGTCACCAAACATCAAAAAGTTATCCAATCCCATTTTTATAAGTTCCACTTGATGGGCTGTCATATGTGCACGTAACATATAATTCCTGTGGTTATCAACTCACTGAGACAATATTAATTAAATTTAAAAATATAATAAGATATAGGTTTCAAAATGATGATTTTGGCACAATACCATAACAATTACTAAAAAATTAACAAATCTCGAATTCAGACCATTTATAACTTACTTGTTAAAATAGAAGCAATCACTTTTTTTTCTACTAACATGGTCTTTAGGTATTAATAAAGAATCAAAATTTTGTTCCACAGTCACCATTGGATGTAAATCATCAAATATTGAAAAAATTGGTTTTCCGGTTCTACCTCTGTAAGCAGCATAAAAGTACTGCATAATTCTTTTCTTCATAAGACACAATGGATGAAACTCTTTATTGTGTAAATTCTTCCCAACCAAGGATAATATTTTTGGACTGACATTGGAAAAATCATCAGTAGGAAACTTGAAGTTAGAAAGTGATGGATTTTCTTTTGCTACAGAAGTACTATATTTTCTAATTAACTTTAGAGCTCTTATTGGTAAATTGGCTTTATAAAATATCTGCATATTGGTAGATGAAAAGATGCACCTATTTAATAATGGATATCTACAAAACAGAATCACAAACAAATTGAGCTAAGGATCCGCAAACATTACAGCTTAACACAGAAATAAATTGGATTATAACCACTTTTTAGTTTATAATTAGCATGTTACAGATCTAATAGGAAAATAAAACAACTAAGTACAAATTGCAACTCGAACTTTTGAAAGACCATGATAAATATAATTTAAATCGATACATTACCACTAATTCATGAACGAGGTTTGATAAGTTATAGATAAGACCGCGTAAATGTTTGGGACCTGTATGGAATGGAATTAGGGTTGAAAATATATAGAAGTTCCAAACTTAGGACTGAGATAATTATGGGTGACGAAATTACATGAATGGATTGACGCTGATATTAGGAACTTAACAATATGCTGATCGATTCGGGAAACATATGTAGGTATTAAATAAGTTTAAGAAACAGTTTGACAATATTTTGAATTCGGCAGATACTGGCCTGTCTCCTTTCTATGAGCACCTAAGTGCTGAACCGTTATTCGAAGAATCTAGTAAAAAAAAAGTTGAAACAGCCATCAGAAAATGTAAATCTTACAAAGTAGCAGGACCTGATAATATTCCTAGTGAACTATTAACTAATAAAATAATTTAACCATTGTTTTGGTCAGTTAACCAAAAAATGGAATTAAGTTTAGCCGGCAACAGCTGTTGATGTTAAATAAGGTGAAAGGTTAATTTAGTTTTGTCTTCCAAAAAATGTGTTAATTAAGTGTACATACTTAATTTTTGTGTAATAAAAGTGTTTTATCAAGACAAGATTGCTAAGGACAAAACACCAAACAAAAATTGAGCTGATTTCACCGCCAACAATGGTGGAATCATCTCAAACTGAGGTAAGTAACATGAACTTTAAAAACAGTGATATAAACAATGAAGACGGCTCCTGGGAACTGGTTATTGGTCGTAAAAGACCTATGATAGATTCGAGCGAGCCAAGAGCTCAAAAACGACCGACAGAATCTATCCCAACCTCGAACAGTTTTCAGGTTCTAACCAACATAACTAATTTACAAACAGAAGAAGTTAGAAGAACGCCTCAAAACGATAAAACTCCACCAATTTTTATAAACGGTGTTGAGAATTACCATGCATTAATCTCATTTCTAGAAAACGAAACGGGTCCTAATATGTTTAAAACGAAGTCTACATTGAAAGGTGTCACTGTGTACCCAGAAAATCCTGACGTTTATCGAAAATTAAATTCTAGCCTGCGAAATAAAGGTGCCGACTTCCATACTTACCAACTTCCACAGGACAAATGTCCAAGGATTGTTGTTAAACATCTTCACCATGGAACACCAGTCGATATCATTAAAGAAGAATTTAAAAAATTGGGTTACGAAGCCACCAATGTAGTTAACGTCATATCTCGATTTAAAAAACCCCTTCCTATGTTCTTTGTGGACATTACAAAAGAGACATTTAGAGAAGAAATTTTTAATGTTGAATTTCTATATTATTCACATATTAAAATTGAGGAACCGCGTCAAAAGAGAAATATTCCTCAGTGTGTTCGGTGCCAGCAATATGGGCACACTAAAACTTATTGCAACCATCGACCACGATGCGTAAAGTGTGGTGAATATCATGAAACCAGCTCATGTTTGAAAACCAGAGACACTCCCGCGAAATGCGCCAACTGTGCCGGTCAGCACCCCGCTAATTACAGAGGTTGCCAGACGCTGAAAGACCTCAGGGTTCAGCGCAATGCAAGAAATCGTCTTCAGCGTTCCACAGTAGCAGAGCCAGCGCAGGGACCTCCAGGCATGCATGAATTCCCCCCAATGCGGCAACGTCACAACCAAGGGGAACCACAGATCATCGCAGGACCTCCGCAACAACAAAATCAAACATCATCTAGTTCAGCACCCCCGAACCAGACAACATGTACAGGTACGAGGAGAGGCATTACCCAACCGATACCTCCGGTAGATAATGGCTCTTCCCAATTATTTAATATAATTAATGGATTAAATAACCTAATCCAGCCCCTTTTCATTCTTCTTCAACAACTGTCACAGGTTACACAGGTCTGGTGCCCAAATTATGGCCCACAATAATTTAACTGTAGGCTCCTTGTCAGTTCTTCTATGGAATGCCAACGGACTGAAACAGCACAGTACTGAACTCGACTTATACTTGCACGAAAAACGGATCGACGTAGCACTCATTACAGAAACACACCTGACATCTCGATCAAAAATTTACATTCAGGATTACACAATTTATAGAACTGATCACCCAGATAAAACCGCACATGGAGGAACAGCTATACTCGTTAAAAATTCACTGAAACACAATCCCGTAGATTTACCCATTACACCCGACATCCAATCGACAGGAATAACACTATACACTAAACACTACACTATAACATTTGCCTCAGTTTACTGTCCCCCTAGGTACAAGCTTACACCCACGATGTTTTCTGAGTTCTTCAAACGCCTCGGAAGATGCTTCATCGCAGGTGGAGACTATAATGCTAAGCATCAAGGCTGGGGTTCAAGGTTGTCTACTCCAAGAGGCAGAAATCTCTGGTCTGTTCTCCATGAACTTTCATTAGACACTGTAACTCCAAATTCACCAACTTATTGGCCCACCTCCAGACGCAAAACTCCTGACTTACTTGATTTCTTTATAACAAAAGGACTAAGAACCGTACCATTTGCCGTCAATACAAGCTCTGATCTTTGTTCTGATCACTCCTCAGTGCACATGGTTCTCTTCGACGCGCCTTCCGAAGCAGAAAAAAGACCTAGGCTCATAAAAGGCTGCATGGACTGGGACGCATATAGAGACCATTTGAACACCAATCTTTCTGTTCCAGGTTCAATTAAAAATCATGAGGAATTAGAAGAAGCTGTTGAAAAATTCACAAAAAGCATACAAGATGCAGCATGGGCCTCATCAACATCCAGGCCACAAAAAGCAGCGAACTTGCCCCATTATCCTATGTACATAAGGGACTTGATCAGAGCAAAGAGAAAAGCACGTAAAGTATGGCAGACTAATAGACTTCCTTCAGACAGACAAACTTTTAACAGATTGAACAACGAACTCAAAAGACATATTCAAAAATTCAAAAGCACAAACTACGACAATTTTATTAACAACCTTTCGACGGACGATGGAAGTTTATGGAGACATACAAGGAATCTTTTAAAGCATCGTGAGGTGTCAGCACCCCTACGAAGAGAGGATGGTTCTGGGGCAGTTTCGGACGAGGAAAGATCTGAACTCTTTGCTAACCACCTTTCCACTGTTTTCAAACCACATACAGACTTAATTAATACAGAACACGATATTTTTGTACATAATAACTTAGACATACCGTTACAGCTCACACTACCACCACCTCCTTTCACACCATCACAAGTTGCACAAGAAATTAGACAATTGCCCAAAAGAAAAACCCCTGGTCATGACTTGATAACTGCTGAGGCGCTCCAGCAAATGCCAAGGAAAGCTCTAGTGTTTCTTACCACAATCTTCAATTGCATTCTCAGGACCACCAAATTTCCTATACAATGGAAATACTCACACATAACCATGATTAAAAAGCCAGACAAAGACACTAACAATCCTTCTTCATATCGACCGATTAGTTTACTTCCAGTATGTTCTAAGTTATTCGAAAAACTGTTGTACCCACGACTATTACATATACTAACAGACAGACAGATTATTCCTGACCATCAATTCGGGTTTAGAAAATTACATTCAACAACACAACAATTACACAGGGTAACTGACTACATATCGACAGCACTAGAGCGAAAACTATATGCAACCGGAGTATTTCTGGATGTCGCCCAAGCGTTTGACAAAGTATGGCATCAGGGGCTTCTCTTCAAGCTTAAGACCATACTTCCACATACTTACTACTTAATTCTCCATTCCTTTCTCTCAGATAGATTTTTCTCCGTTCGACATGGTCAAGGTCTATCCTCAATTCGATCAGTTTTAGCTGGCGTACCTCAGGGATCAATCCTTGCCCCACTACTGTACATCACATATACACACGACATTCCTCAAAGTATCCACACTCTTACAGCAACCTACGCAGACGACACTGCTATCATTACCAGGCACGACAATCCTACAGAAGCATCCCTTAACTTACAACATCACTTACAGATTATACTCGATTGGTGTAAACTTTGGAAAACTCAAATAAATTATCAAAAGTCACAGCACATCACATTTACTCTAAGACCAGAAACATGCCCTCCTGTATACATAGACAATGTACCAATTCCACAAACAGACAGAGTACAATACTTAGGCCTTACGTTCGATAGGAGAATGACATGGGGTCCACATGTGAAGAAAAAACGAATCACATTAAATCTAAGACTAAAATTGTTACATTCACTGTTAAGACGACATTCCAAATTAAAAGCAAGACAGAAACTAAGTATTTACACATATCTTTTAAAACCTCTTTGGACTTACGGACTACAAATATACGGAATTGCAAAACCAACTCACATAAAAAAACTTCAAACTTTTCAGTCTAAGATACTACGACTAATCACTCAAGCACCATGGTACGTAAACAACCACACTTTACACACTGACTTACACGTTCCGACAGTTAACGAACACATACGAACGTACTACAAACGATTTCATAACATGTTAAACGGACACTCCAACCAGCTGGTAAAAGAAATGGCCACAACTAGTATGCCCGAGAACTCCAGAAGACGACTGAAAAGGGTCTGGATGAGGGATCTGCTGAAATAATGTTATAATAAGTAAAAGCCATGGAAGGGATACCGCTGGGTATTGCTATTCCTCATGCCTATCAAGCCTTTTTATTTATTTATTATTATTTTTTTTTTTCTCTCATTACTAAGCCAGCACATCTGCTGATTGTCAATCATAATTGACAGGTGTGGATAGATATATGTTAGTCCAAAAAAAAAAAAAAACCATTGTTTTGAAATTGCCGAGGAAATCACAAACTAGATTTAAATGTTTTAATTAACAAAAACTTGCATATATTTCTAATTAGTACTGAAGAATTTTACAAATGCTCACTTTAAACATGTGATTTAAAGTTCTTAGTTCCTCGTTCACCCCTCTAAAAGGTATTAGTAAAGTACGATTTATAATTGTTGGTCTAATAGGTTGTCCATTTTTATTCGAGTCTAGCTCCTTTCTAGAGCTATTTTTTATTCAAGTTCTAGCTCTTCCTGCATTCAGTTCACTTTTTATGTTTAAAGTTCTGTTGGCACTATTTTCTGATCATGTTATAGAATTTTCATTTTGTGACAGGTGCCGAGTGATATAGT